ATCGTGATAACCTACTACACAAGTGAATCGTGATAATAAATTGTTTTATTCGTTTATCGTTAATTTCTCTTAGGAAAAGCCTTTGAGATAATTGTGTTGTTAAGTTTATTAGTTTTGTTAGCTTGGTTTGAGACGATTCCAGGTCTAACACCGGTTTTACGAAATTTACGTTAAATTGATTTTAAATTTTTTTTATAAATATTGGCGTAGCATATTTAAAATTGTGACGGTTGTATATTTTGCAATTGACATGTTATTGAGCCCCTATGTTGTCAAGACCCAACCGTCAAATTTCTTTATCAATCTTGCTTTAAGCAAACAAAGTTTATTTAAGAGATGAATGTTTATATAAGTTTTTTACATAATTTGTTGCAAAGTCCTTACATTTGTTGTAGGTGAATAATAATATATGTTTGTAGTTCATGAAATTCTTTTTCTTTAATTTTTGTTTATCTTGGCACGCTCAAGTAATTTTCTCTTTTTTTTCTTTGTTTTATTTGTTAATATAAACGAAAATAAAAATTATTGTTCAATTGAGAGAAAGGAAGATATGCTCGATTTTATTTGACTACATATTGGAATAGCAAAATAATTTTGATTTTTGCCGCAATTTATTTTCCTCATGATTCAATTACAAATTAATGAAGGGAGGTTTATTTTTAAATTTATATCTTATATTAATATATAAATGATCAAAACTTTTTTTTTTTTAAAAAAAAAATCATATTACAAATAACAAAGGGAAAAAAATTACATCATAATGCGCTCAGTTTGTTTTATAAATAGGTCAATTTTTATTATTATTATTTTTTTTTATTTCCTATAAATATTAGGAAAACTTTCGGATGTGCGAGTTATACATAAATTTTATAACTTCATATTTTAATAAATGCGATGCATTTAATAACAGTTATTTCGTTTCTCAAGCATTGATTGATGATGATTTTTTTTAATAAATGAAGATAAATGACCAAATGACACGCTGTTCCTTCCTAATGTTACATTGAATATTTTTCCGCCCGAAAGATCATTCAGGATAATTTCAAATCTTTTCAGGTCAATTTCGACCAGGTTTACTTAGACTCTATAATTTTCTGCTTAAATAACAATGAATGAAAAAATATATCCTGGCTACATAGTATAGATATCCTTTCTTAGTAGCCAGACATTTTATTCCACTCTGAGATAATAATAACGTTTGCTGTATCATTTCAAAGTCCTATCCAAGACAATTTGAATAATAAATTAATTCTCAATATTGAAATAAAATGACCAAATTATAAAAAAAAGTAACTACCCGTTCCAGCTTTAGGTTTATTAATTATTACATTCTTCACGTTCGATATTAAATTTTTACTTTCTCATCTGCTTTTGCTGAATTGTTTTTGTTTAATAAGTCATTTATTATTTTTTTTTTTAATGAGGTCATTTTGACTTGAAATTATGTAATTTAAAGTCGTTTCAAGGTTACTGAATTGTCGCGAATGCAAATAATTGGTAAATTTATTGAATACGTAGTTAACTACACATTTTCACATGCTTAATATGATTTGTACAACCCTTCATCTTTTGTTTAAATTAAAGGATCCACACACGGTTATCCTTTCATCTCTCTCTGAATATGGCAGTGTATAAATTTTATCAAAAGTTGCTTCTAATGAAATTGACTTAATGAACAACATTTAACATATTTTTTATTAAATACGCGAAGCTCCTTCGTCAGAAATACACAACAAACGTTAATACTTCAACTTCACGACATAGTCTACATCGTCATTTTCGACTTTCTGAACAAGTGCTCCTTTCGAACAACAAGAACGCAGAACTTATTTATCATCAAACTTTACATCTGCTTGTACTACACCTTCCAAAATAGGAACTGGATTTACGGGTTTTAATCCTATTCTTCACTATTAGAAAAAACACTTGGGTGCGTTTTTACTAATTTTTAAAACGCCAAATTTTCATATATGGAAGGATTGATATTAAAATCACGTTAACGCAACATATGATTTACTACGTTCGTAAACTCGATTTTAATAGCAAACCTCCCATATATTTAAATTTCAATAAATATGTTATTTTCAAGTATGAGAAATCTCATTAATTTATTGATTTAAATACATTTATTTTAAGATTTTTATATTAATTAAAAAAGTTTATTTTTACATTAATTTTTTTAATTATTATTATGACCTTGCAAATTCTTTCGAAGACAATTGAGGGCAGAGTTGTCATGGGATATTGTTGGGACATGATCTGGAACTTTGGGACTTAATATGGACAGTTTGGGATCGAAAAAATTCTGTCCTCAGAATACCTTAAAAACAGAGGTGTGATATTGCGTGACAAATATTTGTAGAGTCACGCGATCAAGCTTCGTGGCCACAGTACATACAACTGTGAGCACTCTTCCTTGATTCTTGACGATGATGACGCAAATACTCATTTTATTTTATTTATCTATTTTATGGTCCTGCAACCATGATAAGGTGATGTTGACATAATTGGAATCTTGCAAGATTTTTGTTTGTGGTCTAATGCAAGGACCGAAGAAGCTAACTCGGTAAATAATTAATCATAATATAATATTTTGTACAATTAAGTTGGCAATTAAAAAAATGATCGTGATTAAATGTAGGGGTTTGAAGTCGTTCGTAAACTGGAAGTGATACTATCTAGATACCACAAAGATACTATTGGTGTTATAGTAATCCCACTGACGATAATTTTACAATATAAGCGAGAAGAGCGGCAAGAACTTCCGAGTTTAACATAATATTTACAGACAAGGAAACAATTTCTAAGATCTCATAAATTTTGTCGAATATCGACAAATGGAAATCCAACATTCGCAATATTGGCTGAAATAACAATATCGTTGTTGTTGGCTTGGTATCTGTAAACTTAAACGATAAACTTTTGATTCAATCCGTCGAATTAAATACAAGACAATATCACAATCACGCCTGTATGAAGACACGACAAATGGTAATAGTAAATGAATTTAATGATTCCTTTATTGAACTCTTGGTTTATCCTAAAACCTCAACTTGAGTTACTTTTCAACTCAAGAGAAAATACAAGATATTTATATAAAATGAAATAATATAAAATCAACTATAACAAATATAATAAAAAGAATAAATAATATAACTATGATAAATATAATATATATAATAAATAAGATATAATTAATAAAGATAATAAGAATAAATAATATAACTATGATAAATATAATATATATAATAAATAAGATATAATTAATAAAGATAATAATTATAATTCATTTATTGATCAATGTTGATAATTTTAGCAACTTTGTTAACTTTGTCAACTATATCGATCATTTAGATCACATGACCTATTTTTAGTGCAGTCACGAATCACGGCTTCATTGTCTTTGTTTTTTCATGTTTTTCATCGATTATAATAGGATTAACAAAGGTAACAAAGTTGACGAAGTTGACCGATAATAACAAAGTGGTAATAGTTATTATATTATTTATTATTTATTATATTCGATATATTTCTTAGTTATAGATTATTTAGTAATTTTATAATGTTTTTTTATTATTTTTATATTAACACTATCGCTATATACAATTTATGCCATATAAATGTTGGTGTCAGGTGATTCCACTTTATATAGTGGAAGCTATGGCTGTTCCCAAAAAGGAAGGAATAGATTAGTTATAAATTTGGTTAGCTTCATGCAGGAACTATGGGGGTCGTTTTTATATCAATATAATATTATCATTCGCATGGCCCTATAGGATCATGCCGAGTTTGTTGGACCAATATTTTTTTATATGAATATTAATAGTTTATTTGCATGCATACAATTTTGGGCATCAAAAGTATATCTTTGTACAATATTGCTATATAGTAAAAAATAGTAAAAATTTAAGAATCTGTAATGTAAATTTTCAAATTAACCTGTTGTAAAACTCTATTATTTATCAAATCAAATAAATTACTAGTATTCATAGTAATTTCTAAGTTAGTATTACTAAAATCAATTTCTTGTAATGGATTGCATGGATTTTTTGAATCATCTAATTTTGATATTTAATACTGAAATCTTGAAGATTATTCATTATATCTATTACATTTGGAGTATTAACAATGTAAATTAAAGTTTCAATTTTTAACAATAAATTATAATCGGCTAGATTAATGTTTTGTAATAATCAAATATAAACAACTAAAAAAGAAATAAAGATCATAATGTTACAAAGAGTTTCTTTTACAAGCTTCTCTGAAATAAATTGGTTTTAATATACATGAATATAAAAACGATTTAAAAAGTTATAAATTTGTTTTATTCATAATAAATAATATTTATTGTATAAAATATATAAAATATCTTGAATGCAATAAAAACAAATATGGATTTAAAGAGGTACTATATTGTATTGTGAGAGAATAAATATTCTTAAATTCATTAGTTGATTAATAATTCATCTTTATTTTCGTAAAACATGTTGACAATATCTAAGTGCATAATTTTTATTTAAAATTATATGTAGACTTGATTTTAATTTACTTAATAAAAACATTTATTCTTAAAGGAAAATAATATTACAAATTATCTATTATAAATTCATTGAATGTAATTATGGAGAAATTTTCATAATGTTTTTTAAATATTTCGCTTATTAAAAGGATAATAAAATTAACTTTCAAGTTTTAAATCCAATTAAGTTTATCATGCAAAATACTCTAAAAAAATCATGAACATAAAAGAAGGGTTATATAGAAGGTTAAAATTATGAGTTAATATATTGATTATTATTGATATATCGAGTTTTTAAAGATTGAGGGTTGATATCCATTAAGTAATCAGGTAAATTTGGTAAGTCTGTTATTAGAGTTTCATAGCAACAGAGTTTTGTTAATGAATCGGGTAAAGTTGGTAAGCTATTTATTTGAGTATTATGACAACTGAGTTCCGTTAAGGAGTCGGGTAAATTTGGTAAGCTATTTATTGGAGTATGACTACAATAGAGTTTTGTTAAGGAGTCAGGTAAAGTTGGTAAACTATTTATTTGAGTATTACGACAACTGAGTTCCGTTAAGAAGTTTGGTAAAGTTGGTAGGTTTGCTATTGGAGTTTCATAGCAATAGAGTTTCGTTAAGGAGTCGGGTAAAGTTGGTAAGCTATTTATTTGAGTATTACTACAATAGAGTTTCGTTAAGGAGTCGGGTAAATTTGGTAAGCTATTTATTTGAGTATTTCTACAAATGAGTACATTTAATTTTCGATATCGTTGCAATCCTCCTAAGGCGTTTAATATGTCACCCTTATTTGTATTTGTAATGGTTAAACTAACAACAGTATCATCATAGATAAATGATTCAAGGTTTCTGATCCTTTTTTCTAATTCGTTAATAATTTCTTGGTTAATTTCTTCTCGTTTTATAGCCTTTTCTTCTAGAATGTTAATAGTTTCTTGCTTAGTATTGGTTTCTTCTTCTCGCTTTTTAAACTTTTCCTCTAAATTTTTGAATTGTAAACGTAACCCTTCGTTATTTTGTTCTAAATCCTTAATTCTAGTTTCCAAGTCTTTTAATGCTTGTTCTAAATTTCTTCTTAAAACCATTATGTAATAAGAGTTTTTACAATTGTTCCATTTTTCTATTCTCTTTTTATGCAAGGACAGTTCAGCCCTCGGTTTAAATTTTTCCCATATTGTAAATGGTTAATGAATTTCCATAAATACTCTATTCTTCGAAAATGATCTAATCCATTCCTGTAATGGATCGTCGGTAATGGTATTATTTTATTTTATTTTATTTTTTGACACCTCAAAATAAAGCACAAATGCTTCAAATTAATTAAACGCAAGTTCACAACTATTCTATTCAATATGGAATGAATTACAAAAATTTCAAAAAGTTGTTTAAATTATATTTTGCACAAATTTTCTACTGCAAGAATGCATTATATGATGTGTAACAGTAACGATAACGATTCATTTTTGATTAACCATATGAATAATATAAAAAACGATAACCACCAATTGTTTATTCAATCACGTGATTTATAATTATTTTATAAATCGAATTAAATTTTTTTCTAAATAGAAATAATGAATGTTAAATATTCTTGTCATTAACGTCTTTATCTTGCTAAAATCTGAAGCTTTTCTTGATTTTTGCTGTTAATGCTATTTATTTTCGAGTACAGATTCCATCAACAGTTGTAATCGGTCGGCAGCAAAAAAATTTATTTAATTCTTTATATGCAATTGAATTTACCGTTTTAAAATTAATTTGGGAAGAATAAAGAATCCCAAAATTCAAGATTTATCGTTACAAAATCATTTATGGTCACCTATTTTCTTTTCTTTCATTTTATATTAGAGAATCTGAATCATTATTGCCTGTCAATGAGCAATTTTTTTCCTTTCTTTCTATTTGTGAAGATTCCTTTTTTTTTCAACTTTTGTTTCTTAATTTAGGAACGGAATTTTCTCTTTTCGATCCTAAAAGGGTTAAAAAATATATATTTATTTTGGAGTGCGAGAACGACAGTTTTCACGATGATTATTCTTTTTCGATTTATTGTGGTTCAACCGGACTTTATTGTCAATCAAATTATGATTTTTTCTGAAAAATATTTATAGTTAATATAATAACTTTCAAATCGTTAAATACAAATTTATCAACTTCAGTATAGTATTCAATACCTTTCTTTACATTGTGAAATTAAAGAATTTACACAAGCCTTCTGTAAAAATTATTGTATCACGTAAAAATATACAAAGGCTCATTTGGAAATTCAATTACAACATTTTCTTATATCGAATGAGCTAATAATAATTTTTAATCGTTTTTTCTGGACCGAGAATTAATATGAAATAATCGAATCAATACTTTGATAAAATATTTTATCGAAATATTTTTTTACA